GGTGAATTGCCTGCAAGTAGTACGCGCTATCAACCGCGGTCGTGCCTGCTCCACTTGAGCTGGGTGGTGTCGCATGTAGACTACCTCTTCACACCTGGCAGAGAAATCGCGGGCGGGCACCCTCCAGTCAATCAGGAGCGGCTGACATCTGATAAGTGGGCTCCTGTTCACAAAACTCAACCCACTCTCCTTATTCCAACACAGTCATGGACAGCAGCATGAGATTAAGGGAATTTTAGGAGAACAGGGAAGGGAGGGGGGAGCTTATTTACCCTGCTCGATGTACAGCCGAGGTTTGCGTAGGTGCGTTTTTTAGCCAGGCGCCGAGGAGGATTAAATCTCCAGAGCACATGTTAGCAAGGCTGGTGGAGGTCTGGAGATGGCCGCGATCCACCTCCCCTTGGCGACTTGTAGATGAAGTCGTCCGCAGAAGCTGTAGAGGGCCCAGGGGAGGGCAGGAGGAGACTGGTAGAAAGGTGACGAGGACGTCGGCAGCGAGGCGACGAATTTTCGCAACTGGATGACCCAACAGGGGAAGAACAGCATTTCGCATCGCTGTCTGACGATCAGCCCTAAAAAGTGCAACACAGAGTCATCAGGACTTCATATTGACTATAAAAATGACATGGTTACTTTACATTAATAGCATCCTCAAGAGCATTCCTTGCCTGCAACCCTTCAAATGTACATATACATAGAATGTGGCAACTCAAATTGCTGATTTTGACTAAAAGCATTAAAAAACAATACTGGACAGAGGCCTATAACATTCGTTGAAAGTCAACCGCCTACCCAGTAAGCTTGTTGCAATGAATATTGTAAGAATATACGAGGTTGCTAATGGAATGTTTCCCTTGCTACAGTCGAAGGGCTGTCCATTTTCAGAAACAACATTGAAAATGTTGGCACCTTACCGGAAAGCACATTGGAGTCAACTAAACCTACTTTTAAAGGGGAAATGGCGCTGGTCATAGGACTCGTTCAGGTCTACGAAATGTGCCCGCAGACAGATTGTGGAACAACACGCAGCAGTCTCGGTCCAGCGACATAACGAATACTGACTGCTACCCAGTAAGACTTCACGCGCCACAAAGTCTCAAAACTGGTTTGCTACAGGGATGGGTGAATATGCCTATTTTTGCATTCTAGGAACTACAATAAGACCTAATTCTAGCCGGTCATCCCATAAAACCGCTGTTCGGGGCAATCCAACTTAATCGCAATTTGACTAGACACCGGAAGGAGCACTTTTTCCCTCCACCAACAATAACGTCTAAAGCTACGCGCAGGTATGTTCACTTGCCAAACACCAAGATCAGAGGCGGTTGCGGTTTGCAGGGCAACCGTTGGACGGAGTAACCTAGGAACTGAAGTCTACTCGTCTCGGAAGTGTCTGGCAGTCACTCATCCACTCTGCACATGTACAACAAAAAAGTGAGATGTGCAGTCTGTTAAAGGAAAATTCGGGAACATGTCGTGCCTGGCTCTGTCTTATAAGCAACGCTTCAAGTCCATACACCCCCCAGAATCTGAAGAGCGACCGTGCTTAGTATCGACAAGGGAATTAAGAAACATGTTTCGATTTAAAAAAAACATTAATATGTAAAATCGATAGGAGGGGAAAAAACCAAACCAAACCAACAAATCAGCCAATCGCTACTAATGAATAACCGGTAAAGGAAAGACATAATCAACAAATGACACTAATCGACCAGCTTACGGAAACATGGACGGGGGTGAAGATGAAAGACGAGAGAGAAGACCCAGGAGAGGCACCAAAAGCTTCGCTGTGGAGGAAAGGCAGGAAGCTGAGGTTTTGGAGCTCACTTCTTTGAGAGCCGCCACAAAGGTGTCAAAGAGGGTTGGGTAGCGTCCAAAAACTTCCAATACGCTCGGCGGTGGTCGGCTGTAGGTTGAGCCAACCAAACGCATCGCAATGATCGCTGACAGGGCAGAGTAAGGAAGAGCAATAGGAGCAGAAAATGAATGACCAGAGCCATGGGAGAAACAGAATCCAAAAAATGAGGTTTAAGGTCCAACAAGCTGGAGGGCAATAACAGTAGTGCAATAAAACGAATGCTGGACACCATCCAAATAAGAATTGACGCGCCAAGACCTGAAACAGTCATGTAAACTGAAACTGGTTGGTCGAGAAGACAGGTGGAGATGTCCAGGGAACAGCAATAAATCAAAATTCCAATCGTCCACCCCATGAAATTGTTATCTTAAAGTATGAC